CAGGCTAAATCTTAGACTCCACAAAATAGCCAGTGATTATCCGGTGATTTACGGTGATTATAGCAGAACAAACCCTAGGCATTCTATTAATTAAAGGTACTTTTCTTTCTGAAAGTTCACTCCGACGCAGCTGGAGACAAAGGATATGCGCCAACAGGCTGGGAACGCTTGACCTTTCTATCCATTTCAGCCCATATCCACACGGATGGGGTTAAGGTCAGGTGACTGCCCAGGCCGATGTCATCACTCTCAGCTGTTCCGCATCTTTCTTAAGCTTAAAATATAGAGTGTAGAGATCAAAAAATGAGGAAAGAGCAATGTTGTGTCAGTGCTGCACTATGCAGAATACTTGACTACAAACATACAGCAACTAGTTAGTGACTCTGACGCATTTTCATTAATGTGTTTACTAGCATGTTCCTGACAAAGCTTTGGCGGCCGATGGTGTGAGTCCATACATGTACGAGAATGATTCTAGGGCAATTACACTATATGCTTGACATACTGTCATTATTGACAAAAGACTAACGCCTGGCGATGAACGAATTCACCTGGCGATGAACGAGTGCCACCTGGCGATGAACAAGTGCCACCTGGCAATGAACGACTTCACCTGGCGATGAACGAGTGCCACCTGGCGATGAACGAGTGCCACCTGGCGATGAACGAGTTCACCGTGTCGGTTCCCTTTGTGTTTAAGCAGACCGCAACCTCAAATCGAAGCTCCTGAAAATAACTTTAAATGTGAGGCTAGAATAGCACGACTCTTTCTTTTCTGCCTCAAAGATAAAATAAAATATTTATTCTGTACGGACATGGTGGCCTAAGGGTTAGCTCCAGGGGTGGTTGTTCAGATCCTACACCCATCTACGTGTGTGGAGTTTGCATGTTACTCTCCACGCCCCCGGAGGCAATTCTAGGATTTTTTAAGGTGGGGTAGGAGGGACATAAGAGGAGCCATATTTCATACAGAGGCGCTAACCGTATCACCAGCCAATGAAATGTTTTGAATTGGTGATTAACAGGGGAGGAGGCACTCTGGGGGCCAATCAGATTTCAGCTTGGGCCAGAGCCCCTGTGGCCCCGCCCCTGTAGATGCTGCTGCAGGTTCAACAGATTTCCTCTTATCACTCCCACAGTCTAAAATCATGTGGCCAAGAATACTCTAAACTGCCTTCAGTGTGTTATTGTGTGTGAGATCCCTGTGCTGAACTGGCATCCGTCCAGGGTGTACCCCTGCTGTGTGCCCTCTGATACCTGGGATAGGTTCCGGGGGTAAGTGCAACCCTGTGCATGAGATAGCTATTGTGGAACATGGTGGGGTTTCTATCCCATGCTCTCTGGGAAGGTCAGGCAAGCAGAAGTTAGCTTCGCTTTATGTTGCACTTACCTAACTTCATTATGCTAACATTTGCTTTGCATAAATGGTACAGTTGCTTGGAGCTCAATGCCATGAAATCGAGGGTCCCTGGGTCGATTTTTATATACAGCTGCGGAAAACAGAGACCGTTCTATATTTTCAAACAAATCTGCATTTTTAGATCATGGTTTAAGCATGGTTTAAGCGGAAGGCTACACTGAGCAGCAAAATGCTTTCAGGTTCAAAATTACAGCAGTACACAAAAATAAGGTGAAGCAGGAGACACTGGGAACGACCAGAAACCAGCCAGGTAAAGGGGCGAAAGCCACATTCTAATGCCAGAGATGACTGTTAACTTATCCGACAGTTTCTCATAAATCGAAGGACGACATCAAGTGACCTTGGAGTGCACTGCTAGGACAGGAAGCAGGACTTAGGTCCCAGAAATCAAGTAAGAAGCCCTTCATTAATGAGAATCAGCGAAGAGCCAGACCGCAGTTTGCAGAAAAATACATATTATTCACAGACACACACCCATAAATTGAGAAATGAATGAAACAAAAAACTGTGCTACGGTCTCTTAATCTTTTCTGTGGCTATATACTGTATACATTCATTGAGATACAACCATCACATTACAGAGGTCAGGATGAGAAATGATAATCCCCAAGCAGTATGTAGGTATTACAAACATGAATGACTTGAATTCAGGCTCAAGGTCAATCCCAGCTACAAGAAACGGCTCAGAGAAACATGAAAAACACACCTTTACAATAAAGACTTTGGGAGTAGCAACACAGTAATAAGTAAGCGTTGCTGTACGAACACTGGGGTACGCAGCTTGTTTGATCAATGGTGTTAGCAATTGTTGCAGACGATTACAATTGCACGTGCTCTGTATCGACGCGTTCGGCATCAATCACGCTCACAAAGGCCGCAGCATTGAGCTTGCGCATCCCGCTTAGTCGATGGACGATGAAAAAAAAACCCTTTATCTGCTCACATTCGGAGATATCATGGGGAATATTTCACGCTGCTTTTCATTCCAACCAGATGCGGCTCCACAGTGTTGGTATCTCTTTGTCGGGAGACGCATTCATCTGTGCGACATTTGCTCACTGTTGCAGCGGTATAAGCCAAATTAAAATGTCGCGGTGGTGATTATGTAACTGCCAGGGTATGACAGTTGATCTGGACATCCTTTGTAAGCCCTCCCTGGCTGACATTGAGTCGGGACCGAGGGGTAGAGTGTTGGCGTCTTGTCTTGTTTGGCCTACCTGCCGGAACACTTTCCTCCCCTTGTGTAACTAATGAACAGGGAACCGCACATAAAGCTGCATGCATTACAACAACCAACTCAAATTTCACTGCATCAGATTGATAGCCCAGCATTGACATTAGCAGTACTCTCCCCAACACTGAAAATTCAATAAAGTATGCCTCATAAATTTTTCGGGGCAGTAAGAACAAGAGGTGAAAGAGAATCCTCAAGTGGATCCCATCGATCCTACAGACTGCTCCCTACGTCTTGCTCAACCTGCATTTATGTCAAAAAACTTTTAAAGAGCGACCAGCCCCCTGTGCGCTACAGCTCCAAACGTTGGTCAGTTGCTGCAGAATAACGTGGAATATTCTAGCAACACAGATACGGATGCTGCAGAGAAAGTCCCAACAGCTTTGGAGATGTAGCTTAGCCCAGGAACGGGCCAACATAATTCATCAAAAATCACCAAAAAAAAAGATCAAAAACATCAACCAGGAGATGAAACCAAACGTTCCCCCTTTCTCCTCTTCTGTTCTACGTCACCTGATCATTACATGCTCAAACTTTGTAGGACTCAGTCAGGCAAATATTGACAGACAGCCTCATCCGGAGGCATTTTAATCTGCTGCAAAATCTGCAAATATGGCACATGGCCATCCGTGTCTCATTTTTCAACTATCAAACAAAATACACACGCGTCCTGAAGACTATTACGCAAACCACTCAAGTCTAGCTCGCTATTTTTCATTTGAAGTGCGTATTTAGAAATTAATTTTTAAAAGCAATAAATAAACCCGCCATGGATATCGCTCTAACCATGTCTTTTTCGAGGGAGAAGAATCCCATTTCTTTCATGGCTGACTGCATTAATGAGATTACAAATGGCAAGGACTTCCAGCACATACTGTATATTACTAGAACGTTCTCAGCATTCTCTCAGAATTCGGGAACGTTATCTTAATAACACGACCGCCAGGCACTCCCGCACAGGCCTCAAAACATTGTGCAACCCATGTTTTGTTTAAGCAACATCAGGCCACAGACATCTGAAGAATTCTAATTCAAAAGTAGGCTTCAACTCAAATATGTTTTTTGAGATGGTATAAAAAAAAGAGGATGGAGTTTTTTCACTGTGTTGAATATTTTTAAGATTTTCAAGATTTAATCAAGAGATTTTTTCAGGGTTTAGCCAATTGAGTGGAACAAAATGAACAGTAAAGGTAGGTATTTCAAACTCAATGAAGATGGAACAAGATGGCCGCTACATATGGGCCAGCAATTCTGCATGTGAATTTATCCGCTGTTTGAGACTCTCTTGATTGCTTGAAACTGAAATTTACATCAGCTACCCACAATATCCTGCCGTCAAAGTGTTTTTCTTTGCTGCGTTGAACTTGTTTTTATTCCTCTGTTGATGTGCGTATTCTGGAACGATCAAAGCGCCTTTTTAAAAATGCATTGGGTACATCAGAGGACTTTGTGCGAGCCGACAGTTGCATAAGTAAGGCAACGAGCGCAAACACTAACAAGAATTTACACGTGCTTGACGTCTAAATCCACAAATAAAAAATGAGAAAAGTGAGCAAAGGCATGCACCTCCTCTGCTCGTTCGTACGACATTAACGACAACTTCATGCACAGAAACGCTTCTGAAATGAAGCTGAATCTCCTACAACGGCTGCAAGAAGTGCAATTAGATCTGCAAAATGTTTGATTCAGGGGATTACTTAGTGATTAATGTATAATTACATGTAATTAAGTATTTGTCATTATGCCATTACATGACCGACGTAACAAATTGCGGGAGAATACATAATGGGAACCGATAAAACCGAAATCTCAGAAACTATCAGAGAGAATGATAATAGGTAATTAAAGTTCAGGAAGCTCCACTCCAGAGCTGCTGAAATGCAGACAGGCTCATAACCATAAATGCTCAGTCAACAATCACTACACAAACGGGCACTTTTACATAAACACTACACTCCCACATTCGAAAGTCATGCCGCTTCTAATAAATCAGGATTCTAATTGACACAGTGTCGATCGTGCTGCAGACCTGGGAGGGATCCACAGGCCTCTTACGATATTAGCCAAAAAAATAAGACACCTTTATCAGAAGGTAACAGCACAGCGTTCTTCCATCGCTCATCCAGGATGTATGTTTTCCTTCAGCCTCTGGGGGCCTGTAACAGAGAGTCGCTCAAGTCTCATACATACAGCGGATTGTCAAAACTAATCTTCCCTGCCTCTGTGAGACTTCAAAAGATGTCAGCACTTGGGAGAGAGTCCAAGGGTCCACCACTCAAGAAAGCTATTTAGGTCCTCGTAACCGATCACCATAGTAATTTTCCACGGTGTGTCACTCACCGTAAATGCCCTGCTGAGTTTGCCAGTAGCGGCTTCGCCGTCCGAGGCCCCCGCCAGCCTTGGCACAGCAACAGACGGAGATACACAGGCTTAGATTTCCATGTGCTCTCTCATACTACAGCGGCTATATAGACCCCATTTTGTAGGCCAAGTACAATTACTACTGTAGGAGGTTCACTGGACTCTTCGCAGTAAAACAAGCTTCATACGTGCAACTGTGCCAGTATACGTGTCATACTCTCCAAAAACGGATGGTAAGTAGCCATACTTACAAGTAATGCCTGCACAGTTATATCTGAATCGTATGGATTATATTTAACTACATTTAAGCATTTTTTTCCCATTGTGTCGTCTAGCCCTGATGTTTCTGACAAGTGGAGCCGGCATGTAGCTGAACATTAGAAGCGCGGAGACAGTAAGCCAGAGAATGATCTACAGCCTGCAGTCACAAGTGAACATTTTTGAGTTGCCTGCAGCAGCTGTTATGAGGCTTCCACAGTGTTCATGCACAAATTTTAAAATATATATACATAATGTAAGACCCATGTAGGAATATCACCGACAGTACATACATATTGAAAGGTTATGTAAAAGTTGGAATCGATATACTGTATGACAGGCAGCCCTAATCTAAGTCTACAGATTCATCTCTGCTCCACAACCCAATCGCTAGGAATAAAAACTGAACTTCTTGAACTGCAGGCAGTAATCATATTATTATGCATCCCTCTTGTAAATCATCTCAGTGGTTCAGGGGGACATACACGAATGAACAGCCATGGGTAACATTCAGTGCGGAGGCAAGGGGATGATGGGTAATTCCCTAGGGCACCATCTCCTGAGGGGACGCCAACTTAGCAAAGCACCAGTGCCACCCCAGCGGGGGGCATGATATCTTCTTCAGTAAGCATGGGCACTAATGTGTCACTGGGGCTTTTAAAAGAAGGCATTCTCCTTTAAGAAAGGAGAGGGGAAACGTCTTAATCAAAGGACACGGGGAGTGATATGTCACGGGGTCCTTATTAGGAGATGTTCCTCTTTACAAAAGGGGAGGGGCAACGTCTTCATAATAGGACATGGGCAGTGACATGTAGAGCACCGGCCAGGGACAGGGATCGGCCGATTTTCAGCACGCTTGGCCCGGAACGGAGACCGGCCAGTTAGTCTTATGCATTTCCGATACCGAACTGGTCCATGTTACTCATGCGCCATACGTCACATGCACAGCAGCACAGGTAATAGCCTTATAGCCGCACACTCGCAGCCACCCGCTAACCGCTAACATGTCGTTAGCCTGGAAGGTCGTCACTGTGAGTGAAGACGACACAAAGCTTGTGATTTGCAACACACGTAAAAAGTAAACCGTGGGGAACCACCATGAAAACGCGGTGAAACATCAGAGGTAAACTTTAAACATCCATTTTCTCATCCTATTCAGAGTCATGGGGGTCTGGGCACAAGACATGGAACAACCCAGGATGGGGCACCTACAGGCAACATGGCAACTCCAACTAGCCTCAACATGTTTTTGGACTGTGGGAGGAAACTCCACTACAATAAGGGTCGAACATGCAAACTCCACCCACATGAAGCCATGCCAGAGACTTGAACCCAGGTCCCAGGGGACAGTGCTAACCACTGCACCACCATGCCATACTGACACACATATACTGGACAATCTTGAAAAGGAATAATCATTAAAATTCAAAGCTAGCTAAGGATTTTTCCTATGACAGAGTGAAATGTTTTACTTTAAGCCCCTTAATGTTGTGTGATCTGGTGAATTTAAACATACTAGGAAAAAATACAAGTAACAGGGATTTGTTTTATTATTTAAATCTTTTGCACCTGGCGCTTGTTTGGTAAAGTAAAATATGTCAGATTAAGTTGGGTGTACAGCAACTCATTTTCAGTTAATAGTTATTTGTACCTCATTCCAGTTTGGGGGAAATTTTAAAGTTTATCAGTTTCTTTTATTATGAAAATAAAATTTTCCATTGAAGGAAAGTTGATTTTTGTTTGTATACACTATCAGTTACAGTTCTTAGAAAGAAAATGAATCGGCAAAATCTGCATTGGCAGGTCACACTTACTGGAATTGGCCAAGAAAATTTAAATCAATGCATCTCTAGTGACATATCATGGGGTTTTTAAAAGGAGAGGTTCCCCTTTAAGAAAGGGGAGGGGAAACGTCTTCATCAAAGGACATGGAGAGTGACATGTCATGGGGTTTTTAAAAGGAGAGGTTCCCCTTTAAGAAAGGGGGGGGGGTCTTCAGTGAAGGAAATTAAGTGAGTGAAGGGGGGGGGACTGAGGACTGTGGGTAATGCGCCTGTCTGACTTCGGAAAATCTGGGGAAATGCGATACGTTACGGCCAGGGCGTCCTTTATCCCGTGTCCTGCCTGCTCCCCCTGCGCCAGAGGAGATCTGCTACTCTGAACATCCGGGTCCCGAGAGTGAAACGCTCCTGCAATTTCATAATTATCTCCCAAATGCAGCCTGTCTGCTGCTAGAGGGCATGGCTGAGGCGACATCATCCTGACCCCTCATTAGTGCTTCATGACGCAGCAGTTCCTCCCCTGCAATCTGCCAGAAGGCCCATCCACCAGGTGACAATGGCCCGGTCCACAAGGCACGTGCAAGAGTGAAGCTGTAAACAGAACCCTGTACCGTAATAATAATAATAATAATAATAATACTAATAATAATACTCTGCCGAGCCATTAGCCAGCCCATAAACACATAGCACCAGAGGACAAGTATTCCCAGGCTCCATGTGGGACCCCCACTGTGACAGCAGGCATGCCTGCGGCTGCTGAGTCCCAAATGAAGGAACGCAGACAGCTCTACAAGGACACCGGTGTCTGGCCATGTGTTCCAGCCCACACGGGAACACAGGTACATCACAAAAGGATCTACAGGGATTTGAACTGATGACCTGCAGATTACAGGCACAGCGTTCTAACTCACTGAGCCACATATCGCCCAACAAAAAAAAAAAAAAACACAATTGAGAAAGCAGGGTCAGCCAATCCCTGGGGCAATTGGGGTTAGGGGTCTCCCCCCCAAGGGCCCAGCAGCAAAATCATTCTACTGACCACTGGACTTGAACTGGCAACCTGCTGATCATGGACACAGTGTCTAAACCCACTGAGCCCCAAACCACCCCATCCATGCCAAACTTAACCCTTCCAGCCCATACAAGTATGTAGGCATATCATCAAAAGCTCTATGAGGTCCTCCCCCACACGGACTGTGCCTAAGATCTCTCACAGATAGATCAGGCTCCTTATCTCCACTTGTTTGCTCAAATGGGCCACACGGAAGTAGCAAACTGGCAAACAGAGATGCTTTGCTAGAATCGTCTCTGAAAAAGGACAAATATATCACAGTATGTCCTTTACATATGTATAAATGCACAGGAACAAAGAGGATATATGAACATATACTTAATTCATTCAGACAGAAGACATTTGTCTTCAGTTCCAATGCACAGAGAATTTTATTCGTTCTTAAAACGTATTTTGCTGTATCATTTTTTAGTAAATTGCACATTTATATTTCAACTTTTGGACTGAGGAACACCATGCACAAACTATTAGGTGCTAATTAAGATTTACTGAATTGATTTTAGAAATTAATTGGCCACAGCATCAATATAAAAGTTTAAAATTTGATTAAAAAAGTTATTTGCATCGGGTGAACATAAACAAAGAGATAGTTTAGCAAGTCAGAAGGGCGCTCAATTGATAAATAAATCAAAATGCATCCTCATTTTGGTAAATGCTGCCTCTTCTTCATTTACATTTTGGAATATTTAACTCTAAATGACATAATCTTTAATGTAGTTTCCTGTTCTTCTGTGGCTCGACCTGAAAGTCTGACGCACCCTAAACCCACCACAAAATTTGAAACAGTGTCCACATTTATTGTACCAAAGTGAAAAAAATGCCTTGAGTCAAACACAATGAATGGGTAGATGATGATGTCATTTATCCCCTACATTTTTCATCAGTCATTACACTTTCATCAGTGGGAAAGAACAGAATATTACTAATTCATTGTGTTATTTCCAGTTCATTCATATTCCCATTACATTCTGTGGCTCTACTGTGTTGCAAATCACAGGCAACTTGGGTGATTTCACAAGAAGGAGCTACCTTATATTCTAGCAAAGTCCTAGATTTTCAGGAGAAATGCAGGTGTTATAATGACTTTTTTCCCCACTGACAGACATCTCAGACTTCTGTTACATACCCTAAAAATAAATATTACCATATAAAGAGGACCCTAATATACATGAGGACTGAAATATAACCAGAATTACTGTATGCTGGAGGTGACTTTGGCAGGGCAATAAGTAAATATAACTAACATCTACCCGTTTTCCATGCCTACATATCCAGGGCATCGTCCTACTCTAACGAATAAACGTATAAACACAAATTAGCATTCAGTTTGACTGTGAGCGGCATGCTTCAGTACAAGCTCACATCTTAGTATCGCCGTTTCCGACAGCAGCCGGCAGGATTTCCCCCCGCGGAGGGCGGCTCTCTGTCAGCCCAGCTAGGCTCAGCGGCTCGCCGCCATCAAAATCCCCGAATCAAAGGCCCCCGCCCCCTGCGTACCACGTCAAGGGAGGGACGTCGGGCTTCTGCGGCCCTGTCGACCGCCTCCCGACTGGGTGGCGCGTAATGTGTCTTTAATACCGCCGTATTCCTTCTTATCCCAAAACAGATCTCACACCTCCCTTTCTCCTACACAGCTAACGATAAAAGAAGCTCCCCAGAGGACCGACGAGAAGAGCAGGAGCGCCGTCTCGCAAAGCATTAAGCATTAAGGAGCCATTCTGAGCCAGGAATGCGGCAGATATGAACCTCTGGAGGACACACGCGGAAACTAATGAAAAGAACCGTATTTAGGTGCACTAGATCTCGCACCTTATGAAACAGCTGCTGGGTATTTGCAATTCATGAAGACACATCTTCTGACAGATTACTTTATATTAAAAAGCTACGAAAACTTTTAAGTGTAATATGTTCTTTCCCCTTTAAGTGCAACTCAGTGTATATAATGTATATAATATAAAACGGATTCTATTTCCAGTTGTTTTTTTTTTTTTTTAAACTTGTCTGAACCTCATTACAAGTTGCACGGCAGCTCCAGAAAAACAACATTTCACGGTAGCTGTGCCGGATATGGTACAGAAATGTCTGCATTTTTAACATGGTGAGATAACAATAAAGAATCTCGAATAATCTGCCAAAAAAAACAGTGTTACGAAATGCAGGTCATTCCTCAAAAGTTTACCCCCTTGTGATAATCTAAACTGAACACAGGACCGAAGAACATCAAATTACGACATTTTCTCCTGTTTTATGTCTTAATGTCCATTTGCACTGTCTCTGTCGGACATACAGGGGCGGAGCTTAACACCTTAAAGCTCATTAATCTGAGCCTCTCTGTTTTCCTAATGCCTAATGCCCAGCCACCTCTCCAGCAGCCTCACGAAAGACAGCGGCCTTATGGGACGGCTCACACTGCGTGAAAGCGAAGCCTTCCATGTCCATTCTAACGACATCTGCCTACTTGATCCAATGCAGGAACAGACTGCACAAGAGGAAATCTCTATAATGTCTGTCACTGTACCCTATGCCCACTGCCTACTGTGCATATAATGCAAGTTTACATACTGTCTTTGAGTGGTATTTTTTTCCCTGTATGTTTAATTAAATTTAATGTACAGTATACTCTCTCTATACTCTTCTACTTTTTACACAGTCACAGCAGCGAGCCAGATTTCAGTAATTTCAGTGCAAGTTATACCAGTATTATGGTGCATGTGACAATTAAAATCTTGAATCTTTAATCCTCAATACCTAAAACTACAGTACATCCAAAAATCAGCGCTGAGGAGCTCAGCAGGAGGCCTCACGGCAACTTTAGGTATCCGAGTATGACGTGGGCTGGTGGCAGCCAAAGACTTAAATATCATCTGAAGAGGAACCACACAGATCTCCGGCATGTGCAGTACTACCTGCTTCTTCTCCCACCACACTGAGCCTCCCGGTAACCACTCCATGAACCAAAAAAAAATCACAGTTTCACAGACGATTAGTCTAATTTCCCATAAACTCGAGTTACTCAAATAGAAAAAAAGAAAAGAAAAACTAAACATGACCCTACCGCGTACCATTAACTTTGCCCCCATATCCGGGACACTTTGCCTGCTGCCTGTCATCTTTCATCACCCACTCCTGCAACTCTGCATAACCTTCATTATCCCTCTACCAGAAGGACAGGCGCCGAATACAATTGCAAACCTGTACAGGGGGTGGGAGTGGAGGGGGGGGGGGGTACAGCAAGGACTGTATACTGGAAATGTCCCCGTAAAACACAGCTGAGAGAATCCATCTCCGTAATCCACTGGAGATGGGAGATTATTTTCAGAACAAAAAACACCACATGAAAATGTAGGCCAAGCTTCCTACCACATGCGATACGGAGGCGCTCTAATCCAATTCAATGCCATGGCGCTCTACCTTGACGCCTTAAGACTGGGGATTTTCACCTGTTTAGGCGATTGGGGAATATGCTACACTTCGCTTTCTGGGCCACGGCTTTGTCTCAGAGGTTCATCGCCAGTCCCAGAGCCCGCGGAAGAGTCCCGTCGTTAATCCCGATGGACGACGCCACCATCGGCCAGGCCGAAACCTTTTAGTTGCCGCTTGGCTGAGTAGGAGAAAACCCAAGTTTTTACATTTCGCATTAATTTATTTAGCAGGCGCTTTTATTTAAAGCAACGTACATTTGAGAGAGGAAGGTCAGCCCTGAAGCATTTGCAGTTAAGGGCTTTGCTCCAGGGCCTGACGGTGAAATCAGTCT